TTAGTGTTATAAGTTTGCAGACTTACCACTGAGCCACCGGGAGCTTATAAAAATGACAAAATATTAGAAGAATAAAATATACCAAGGATTTCCAACTGTTAAAAAGGCATCAGTGATATCCATAGTAAAGTCACGTCACTAGTTAAAACTCTAAACCATCTACAAGTAATCATGAGACTTGAATATCCCATAAATACACACCACTTGAAACAAAATTTTGTGTAGGACATAATTTTTTATTTGAATGTACAAACTTAAATAGTACAGCAAATAATCTTGCTCACAGCAAGCTTCAGTAAACTAAAAAGTGATACACTAAACACAGACATTTTAATAAATTCAAGTCAACAGATTTGTTTACTTACAAGTCTTGGAACTGCTTGTTCTTCATTACTCTCTCTAATGAATAAACCTGGGTAACCCACTGGAACTACTAACTACAAGCAGCATCATACAGACATATATTTAATAAACAATATTTTACCTGTAGTTTGTCACTGGTACTCAATACGTAGTTTTTAAATCCTTGGCCAAAGCTAATTTTCTAGCACTGATTTTATAATATGAACAACAGAATACAACCCCTAGAATTCCTACTTTTTCAGTATAAGATCAGGAACTATTGCTAATATAATTCTTGAGGATACTTTAAATATTTAGCATATCAGTCTAAAGTTTATCAACTGAAATTTTTCAATTTTAAAAATGATGATTTATATAAACTAAATTTCCCATCTGATCATTACTTCCAAAAAATACAAATTGAGTTAGTACTGTTAAAGTTAACTGTCAATGAAGTTCAAATTTTTGTTACAAAAACAGGAGAATACTTAATGTTATATTACGACTTGTTATAAGACACATTTAAATACACAAAATGTTAATAAATCAAAACCAAAATAGCTTAATTACCACAACATTTTCATAGATGCTCTCTTAGAAATGAAAAGTTTAACTTCTTTGGAACTATATTTTTCATTTTCATGTACAAGGGGACATCACATCTTCCATTAGAACCAAGAGTTCTTTTTCATATATAAAAAAGTGATACACACACACATACATATATATATATATATATATATTTATAGAGATATAAATAACTTAACTTCAAATACACAAGAAGGGAAAATGCAACTCTCAATAAATGACTAAAATATATTTTTGCTCATTCCAAAATTTAATTTTGGGTTTCTTTATAATTTTTCAAGTTGTTGAAAAACTATTAAATATACAACATTCACTGTGTGAAAATATCAAACAAACATTTTGTAGTTTGGAGGAGGGG